TCCCCCGCATCCGCTGCAGACGACCCTGGGCCGCGGGTCAGTTGGGCTGGGCCGATGAGGGGGCGTCCACACTTCTGCTCGCCAGTCTACACCGCTGACTCTGCTCCCCGCGGGTTGCACAAGCCCTTTTGCACACAAAGGCGTTGAATTCGGAAGAGAAGGGTTTTCCCCATGAATCATAATGGCCCTGGGTCACAGCCCAGCCCGTTTCCTTCCCCACGGCCACTTCCTCATTTACACACGCGGAGCCGCGCGCTGAGAACCCGGGGAGCCCTGAGAACCCGGGGAGCCCTGAGAACCGGGCGGCGGAGCGGCGGTGGGGCCACAGCGACCCCTGGCGGGCGACCGCGGGTGGACAGAGCTGGCGCTCGGGGGACGGGGCTCTGACCAGGCTGTCACCTCCTGCTGGAGGTTTGGGTTCTGTTCCCAGCTGGTCCATTGAGACCTCGCTGTTCTGCACCCTGGTTTCCTCATCTGTAAAATGGGGATAATCGGGTATTTCACTCACAAAACCGTTGCGAAGATACAAGGCAACAAGCGGAAAGCATTCGGCCCAGGCAGGGCGTATAATAGGTGCTCAATACGCGAGCATCCTACTCAGTCTTATTACACTGAGCTCCAGGCCACCTCTACCACAGGACTGAGCTCCCTGAGAGGCGGAGCTGCTGGCTCGTGTCCCCCGTGCCCAGTCAAGTTCATGCAACAGACTTTGGGGCACAGGAACTGCTCCATGCACCTCTCTCAGGGAAGGAATGGAGGCCACCAGGTCTGGGGCAGGTTGTGTAGAGTGGGCACCCGGCACCCCGTGGGTTCTGAGCCCTGGTGCCGGGGCCTCCGCGGTGGAGAGCTGCCCCCCAGGGCTCAGGTCGGGTGCTCAGGCTGACCCGCCCCCGGGGATGAGCAGAAGAGGCAGGGCTGGGTGGAGTCAGGGCTGCCTGGTGGAGGAGGAGGCGTGGACTGAGACCTGAGCTGCGAGGGGCAGAGGGAGGGAAGCTGTGACCTGGGAGCAAGCTCTGGGCAGCGGGAAGACCGTGCGAGGGTCTGCGCTGAGATGGAGCAGAGAGTTCTGAGTCCAGAAAAAGGTCTGTTCCTCCAGCCCATGACCACAGAGTGGGGGCGAGGGGCAAGGAGGGCTGACCAAGAGGYGRACAGGCCCCTAGATCGCAGACCTCSAGGGCGCTGCAGGCTGTGACCCTGGACCGTGGGGGGATAGGGAGCTGTGGATTGTTCTACGCAGGGAGGGRCAGGGTCCAGCTGGGTTTTAAAAAGACCCTTGGGATGTCTTGTGGTGGGAAGAGACCRGGAGGAGGCTGGGCAGACGGGGAGAGAAGCTGCCTGGCTCAGGGCTGGGCTGCAGGAACAGGGAAGGCCAAGCTCAGGAGCCGTGGGCGTGCCTGCCACAGCCCAAGTGAGTGAGTGACGCGACCATGCTTTGGGCCTSGGACCTGGGTAGGCCCTCTGGGTACCCAGGAGGGCCGAGGGAGGGGCCAGGCACCTTGTGGCCTGTAGGTCTGGGCGGTCCTCTGCTGCCCCCTGCTGGCGCAGCCTGGACTCCTGTCATACCTCTGTGTGGCAATGAGGACCTGCTCAGTGAGCGCAAACCCCAACCAGGGACAAAGGTGATACTTCTTGAGTGACATCGTGCCAGACTGCAAGGCTCCTGGTCTCCACTCCCACACTCAACCTGGGTCCCCAGCTGCTCCCGCCTTCCAGCAGGCCGAAATGGGCTCGAGACTGGCCTCCCACGTTCCATCTCCTCTGTCTGTCCCTCCACCTCTCCTTTTTAAAAAAGCTTTAGTGTGCGTGTGTACGGTTTTTTTATTTTTATTTTTTTTTGTGGAATTGGGGATTGAACCCAGGGGTGCTCTACTATTGAGCTATAATCCCCAGCCCCTTTACTTTTATTTTGAGACAGGGTCTCTTTGCGTTGGGCCTCAAATTTGTGATCCTCCTGGCCCAGCCTCCTGAGTCGCTGGGATTACAGGYGTGGGCCACTGTCCCTGGCTATTAGATTTAAATCTGCTTTTGATGTGATGAGGGAAGGGATACCACCTGCCTGCACAGGGGTGGAAGGGGCCTGTTTGACCTGCTGGGGTGGCTCTAACAAGGAACTGGAGACCTGGTGGCTTAAACTTTCTTTGCAGGTTGGAGCTGGAAGTCCAAGGTCGAGGCTCAGCAGGTGTGGCTCCCCCAGGCCCCTCTCCCTGCTCACATAGGGCCACTCCCTCCTGGTGTCCTCAGCTGGCCCAGGCCCCGTGGGCACCCCGTGGGCACCCCGTGGGCACCCATGCCTGGACATTCTCCCTTGTCCTATGAGGACCCTACAGCTACTGAGCCAGGTCCCACACTAGGTCCTGTAACTGCACGACCTCTGAAGAGGCTCTCCAAATACGTGGGCCTTCAGCTTAGGGATCTGGGGGTCACAATTCAGTCCACGCAGAGCCCGTATCAGGTGGGCTGCCAGATACGCTGCCCGGATCAGAGAATCTACCCTAGAAGATGCTGCGCCTTGGAGTGGGCTCCTGGATCAGGCTTCAGAAGGAGCTGGGCATCAGGGCAGCTGACCCCTCTGACCTTGCCCCCTGCTCTGCCCACGGGTCTCAGCTCTAACTGGACCCTGCCTTCCCCTGGGGCTTTGTCTCAGCCACTGACCCCACAGGGCTCCCTCCCCCACGTCTTCTGGAGCCAGAGGCACAGGTGAAGGGGGACTCTCTAGGGCAGGAGCCCTGCATGGCTGGTGTGGCTTCTGCTCACACCCCATTGGCCTGAAGTTGGTCACATGACCAAGCCTAGCTGCAAGGGCACCTGGGAAATGTGGTTTTTCTGGCCAGTACCATGCGCCTGGGGAGGACCTGGAGGAAGGGAGGGGTGGGTGGGGAGCTTGGTGAGCAGCTGCTGCCCAGGGGGAGGCCACAGGGCCCCGTCCAGGTCCGAGAGAGCTGCAGCCACGTCCCAGCCCTCAGCCTGGCCTCTGGCTGACCTGCTGGCCCACGGGAAGAGGTCAGAGCCCAGGCCTGGTGTCCACATTCCCACTGGGAATTCTTCCTGGTCCTGTGTCTCAAGGCCACACACTTGGTGGCTTAAAGTCACCCCCAATTTTTTATCTTACAGTTCTGGAGATCGGCCCCCAAAATGGGTCTCGCTGGGTACCGCTCAGCTGTCGGAGTCCTTTCCCGAGGCTCCGGGAGAGAACCCGCCCTCTTGCCTTTTTCAGTTTCTAGAAGCTTCTGCCACTCTCCGACTCACAGTCCCTTCATCTTGAGAGCTCTCAATGGCCTGCGGGGTCTCTCTCATCAGTCACTGTGACCCAGACCCTGCCTGGGTAGTGGCCCTCCCACAGTGTCCCAGTGCCTGCGGCCACTCGCCCCCAGTCTTTGCTTCTGTGGTCCCACATTGCCTGGGGCACTCAGGACCTCACCCCAGCTCTGCGTCTGGAATTTCACCGCGAGTCTTTGCCATACGAGGATGTAGGGGGCTTTGGGGACCATTATTTAGCTGATATAGTCTCCCCGGTCACCCCCAGGGCAAAAGCCAGCTGCAGCCATCTCASGGCCCTGGGTGATCTGCCTGCCTCCCCGTCTTCACTTCCCCCCTTCCCGTCTCCCTCTCTGCCTCTACCACACTGGCCTGGCCTCCCTGCTGCTGTTGAGCCTTCGTGGGTGCCTGGAATGCTCTCCCTCTAGAACCCGATATGGCTCCCTCCCTTCCCTCCTTCATATTTTTGCTTGTTGCCTTCTCAGTGGGGCCTTCCCTGCCTTCCCTACTCAACAATCTCAGCCCCCCATACTCCTGACCCCTCCCCTCTCTGCTTCCCTGTCACTGGTCACCATGAGACACATGGCATTTAGTTATTTATTGTGTTTCTCTCTCCCCTGCCCCGTGGCCTCCAGCAGCAGGAGTTCTGTCTGTTCAGTTTCCTGCGGGGCCGAGGCCGAGGCTCATTCCTGCTGAGTAAGTCCAGGGGCCACAGGCTGAGGCCACGCTGCACCTGCGGTGGGTGGGGCAGAGCGGGAAGCTGCTGCCTGAGGGCCTGGGTGAGACT